CACCTTGATCTCTGGGGTGAAGGGCTGCTCTAGGTGCAATTGGCAGGAACAATACTCAGAGACATGACAGTCCCCAGCCTGGCCTTCAGGGCTTGCTTCTCCACAAGAGTGGCCCACTAGCTCCTCCAGGTCACTCAGGTCTGGTACCTCCCTGGCAAGACTGTAGCGACCACTCCAGGACACAGCCTGGGAGCCTCTCCTGGAGGCTCAGGATTGCGGCCTTCTCACTCTCTGCTCACAATACCACAGAACCCCAGAAAAACTATGGAAAGGCGTTTTCTAAACAAAAACAAAAGCAACAAAATACTGTCTGCCTTGGGACTATAATCTCCAAATCAAATTTGGACTTTTACAAAACTAAAATGTCCTTCAGAAAGTTGACTGAAAAGTGAATTTCTGTTCACTGAGCCATAGCGCTTTTCATTATAAAATCAGTTGGAGCATAAAACATATATATTTTCACTGGAGGAGTTCACAACCAGGACATTGTCAAAATCACATGAAAAACACAGCAAGCCACTAAAATTACACAGAGCAAATGAAAAAGAGCCATTTAAAACAAAACCTTAATAACAAAGCACTCAGACGAATCCACAAAGCCATGGTGGGGCAGTGAATGCTTTACCAGGAAGCATCCTTGTGACTCGAGGACAGGCAGACAGGAGAAGGACAGGCAGACACGGGCAGATGGTTCCCTGGCTCTTCAATGGAGCCAGCACACTAGGTGAGAACAGGAACACTGGGACTACTCTGAAACTGTGAGTATGTGCTTCTGATTTTGATGAGGCTGACATGCTTGATTTAGTGTTTCCGCATGTCTATCAACAGCTGCTAACCCTTGCCCCCAACCTCTGCTTGTAATGCATTTTTACCTCAAGTAGTGACAAATATTTAAGTTCACTTAACTTTAGTTAATTCTGTGAAACTAAAGTTCTGAAAACTCTGGGCACGCCTGTGGCCTCATACACGGGAGCTGAGGCAGGAGCATGGCTGGGAGTTTCAAGGTAAACCCGGGCCACCACAGCAAGTGTGTCCCCAAAACACCTACAGCAATTGGTATACATTGGAGGAAAAATGTGTCCCAGGCAGTGTGCAGGCCAGCTCCGTGGCTGTGCACATAATTCCTACACCGTGGGAAGGAGCACCTCAGGGTGACCCCTTGTAGTGCAGGGACAGGGTGAGACCTGAGGCGGATGAGCACACTGGCATGCACTGGGAACTGACTGTGGTAACAGCAGGAATGGCCTTTCCTGTAACTGTGTCACACTCAGTCTGGGCATTAACTCAGAGTAGAGCCCTGGTTCTTCCAGCACGGGCTGGGGTGCCACAGCGGGGACAGCAGGGCCGGGAGCCCCCCAGACTCGGTAGTGAAACCCTGGGAGTAGCTTCAGCAGTCTGGCAAGCCTTCTAGATGACTCTGCGTCTGCAGCTACTGTGGGGACGGAGGGACAGTCTAGTCTGATCCATAAGCACAAACCAGAGCTCTCAGAGGTGAACCCTGCAGACAGCTACGCTGTACAACCGGGAACCCTGACACATCCAAGTTCCTTGTATTCTTCTTCTAGACAAGACTTCAAAGCTAGCTGAGGCCCTGCATCTTTGTTTGCTTTGTTTTGAGACAGGGTCTCACTACACAGCCCTAACTATCCCAGAACTCACTCTACAGACTCTACAGAGGCTACAGCCCAGGCTGGCCTCAAACTCACAGAGACCCGCCTGCCTCTGCCTCCTAAGTGCTGGGACTAAAGGTGTGCGCACCAGGCCTGGCTCCAGCATTTGTTTTTACCATACTGTACTTGCTTAAGGCAGGCTTTTTGCAGATCCCTATGGAAAGCCTTTCTTTCCCATCTGATCCATGCATGTATGGAAGCTGAGTTCTGCCATGCTGCAAAGACTGCCAGGAATCTCAGGTTCACCATAAAGGTGTGGAGAAGGGGCTCTTTGCCTCCAGGAACCCCTAAATGGGGATAATGGGGATGGGAACCCCTACACGGGGATAATGGGGATGGGAAGGTAGAGCATCTGAGGACAAGGGTGCTGCCACAGAGGGCTTGAGGGTGTCCGGGGCAGGGGCAGGGGCTCCCAAGTCAAGACAGAAGAAGGCAGCCGCAGCCTGGTTATTCTGACTGCAGGGTGGGTGCTGACAGAGGCCTCACATCCGACAGCAGGATGAAGGGAGGACATCGGGAATGACGGGAATGACGTGCTTGAGGTGTCAGAAAAGAAGGGACAAACAGGCCTGTGCTAGGAGAAGCCGCAGCCCCCGGGGAAGGTCCTGGGTAGCCCTTTAAACTGGTGCCAAGCAAACCAAGCGACATGAGGCCCTACTTGGAAAGTGCCACCAGGGCCGAGTTTCTCCTTGGAACAGCTATTTGTGAGCATAAAGCTCGCTTGTGTGTTAGCAGTATTTGTTTTGGCCTGAAGTGGACTGGATGGGGAAAAAGCAAGCCTGATTAAAACTGGCAGTGGAGCTGGGGGAGGCAGGGCCGGGCAGCTCCCCTGACACACAGGGTGCCTTCTCTCACTCAGCCCTGGCTGTGCAGGAGTTCAGGGCAGTTTGGAAGGGCCCTGGGGGCTGGGCAGTCTTCCCACAGACTTTCCAGACTACCTCCCAGCTCCCCCTTTGACTGCAGCGTCCTTCACAGACCTGGGAGCTCTAAGGCAGGCTTTCAGAGTGGAAACCCAGGAGGCTCAGGCTTCCATAGGGATTTCACAGGCTTCCAAATGAACAAGCAGCTCTGGAAACCAGTGTAGGCTGGTTAGCATTAGGAACAGGCTAGTCTTTATTCTGAAAACTCAAGGTTTTCAGAGGTGCTGTCCTCAGGGCTACTAGAATGTTCTCTCTCTCTCTCTCTCTCTCTCTCTCTCTCTCTCTCTCTCTCTCTTCTTTCTCTCTCTTTCGTTCGTTCGTTCGTTCGTTCGTTCGTTCGTTCGTTCGTTCGTTCATTCATTCGTTTAGTTTTTTGAGACAGGGTCTCCTCCTGTAGCCCGGGCGGACCTGAAACCCACTATTTAGCACAAGCTAGCTTCAGATGTGTGGTGGCCATCCTCCTGTGTCAGCCTCCCAAGTGCTGGGCTTACAGGGGGAACCATCTCACCCAGTTTGGTCCTAGAATTTTAATGTACGATGACTACTCTCCTAAAGGTTAGCTAGGAAAGGGATACTTGATTTTAAAAGAGCCTAGGTCACAGACCTTCCCGATGCTATGATCAAGGACTATCAGTTTTGTCTGCAGAACCTTCTAAGCTTCTTTTGTTGGGAGGAAGGCAGGGATGATAGGGTCTTGGTTTGTAGCCCACACTGGCCTGGAACTCCAGCTCCTCTTCTCCTGGAGGTCACAGGTGGGCATCATCTGGCCTGGCTCAGGAATTTCTTTCAATGGGTGCATAGTGCTTGCCACCCAATACTTGGCTAATACCATCTTTTGATAGAGATCCTCAATCTCTCACCTCCAGTTCAAAAGTCCACAAGCTGGAAGGCCAGGTCTCCAGGTGGCCATATGTGAACTTCCTGGATATAAAACATGGTTAGAGGCCTTATTCTCTTTAGTGGGGCTATTCATATGTGACACTGGATTAAGAACATCATGCTTGACTGTGAAGTGTTACACACAGCTTTCAGGAGACGTGGTTAATACTCCACACTAACTTCTGGGTTCACAACCTGCTCAGCTCAGAACTTCTGGACAGGGGCATATAGACTCTATAGTTGCCTCCAGCTAATGAAGGAGTGGTGGCCTAGCTCTCTCAGACTCAAGACTCAGTTCAGTCTCACTGAAGGTCAAGTGGATTCTATGAAGTAGGAGATGGGGACAGTAAGAAGACAGTGGTGTCCATCAGGCCCATGGGATGCTGAGAGGAAGGACCACTGCTTTGACAGAGCACACGCCTTTGATGCTCCTGACACTTAGGCTCAACACTGCTCCTCTGCACTTCTCAAACTGTGTCATGGCTCCTGTGGCCTAAGGAGAAACAGGCCAGGAGTTGGAGGTCTGGCTAAGAACACATGCCACCAATAACAACAACTGCCTAAACATAGTTAGCAAAATAGAGCTCCGAATTCATGGTAGAGTCTGTCTCAGCTGCAGTTTTCTATCCTCAGGAAAGTCAGAAAACCACGTGCTTCTCTCCCCAAGCAGCCCTGGCGGTGGCACGGAGCCTGTGTCTTTCTAACTAGATGTCAACAGCCTCGCCTGCAGGGACCACATCCTGTTCATCTCCTCTTCTCACTGCGATGCTCCTGGATTAGAACACTACAAGGCAACACTGTTGGTTCGTTAGCCAGAGCAAGGTTGTGTGTGGGACAGTGCTGAGTGTGGGAATGAAAGAATGGAGGAAAAGCTAAATCTTAATCTTAATTTAGCATTTTTAAAAATTAGCTTCTTTAAAACAATCACATTTCTACTGTCACTACCACTACCTGACAGAAGCTGAGAAAAAAAGAATAGAAAATGTACTATAATGTTTTATCAACAAATGATGCCACAAGGAGCCAAGAGGAAGGAATTGAAAACATGTCAAGAACTTCAAAAGCATGTCAAGTATTTATGGCTGACTCACAAGCAGAAGTACGCTGTCAAGATCAAGACGGTGACCCACATCTCCTTGTCAGACTGGTGCTGCTGCAGAGGTCAGACTAAAGACCCGGGCTGTCAGCATCCCCAAGACCACACCACTACTCATGCTAAGTTCTTTAAATGGGAATTCTGAAGTCTTAACAGTAAACCTCATTCATGGGCAATAGCAGATGCCCATCTATGCTCTTCTCCAACCAGAGGGCAGGAACAGGCATGCAATTTGAGAACTAAAATATGGTAACATTTACAAACACTCACATACCTAGCAGAACAACCACTTGCCAAGTTAGAATAAGGGAGGTATCACTGTGTACATAAATCAACAGACGAAGAACATAAAACATACAGAGGACCTTTCTGGAGGATTTCAGTGTTTCTGGAAACCTGTCGAAGCCAGCGTTCTAGAGCACAGGAGACACTCACCACTGCCCGAGCTCCCCTCTCGTTTGCTGCGAGAGCCGCCGCCGCTGTCTCTGCCCGACTTGATGCGCTAAAGCAATAGGAAGACAAGCAGAGAAGAATTAGTGACATTCCTTCGGAACCACACACAACAAAAGAGTGAGTATAAAACCAGCATTAGCAAATGACCCCCAGGACTGATTCATCACCACCCAAGAGCCGAGTCAACAGGAAAAAGGACAGAATCTTTTGTTTTGTTTTTTCAAGACAGGGTTTCATTGTGTAGCCTTGGCTGTCTTGGAACTGGATCTGTAGATCAGGCTGGCCTCAAACTCACATGGATTTGTCTGCCTTTGATGAGACTAAACGTATGTACCATCACACCTGGCTGGACAGAATCCATTGGAAAGTCAAGTCTGACCTCCCAGGATCTACAGAGTAAACCAATGGCATTTTTACTCAACAACAACCTTTGCACAGCAAAGCAATTAAAAAATTAAACAGCATTTTTTTGACGAGAAGATTCAGGACTCAAACATAGTAATAGTTCGAGAAAAAAAGTGGAATAGGAGAAAAACATGTATCAAAGACCATTTCCTACCCTACCCCTAAACTGTAACAGTTGACCCAGTTCATTGGAGAGTTTAAAAAAAAAAGCATCCTGGCCTTTGATATTAAACTTCTAAAAAAAGCATTATTAAAATCTCACACATAGTTATGGTTTGTCCAAAGTTACTTTTTCGAATCCTCAGAAGCATTTAAATAGGCATCCTTGGGCTGTGATAGTGGCATGTGAGCAAGTGAGTGTATATGTGTATGTTTGTGGTGCGCATGTGCACATGCATTGAAGTCTGAGGTTGATGCTGAATGTCTTTTTAGTTGCTCTTTATCTTAATTTTTGAGACAGGCTCTCCAAACCTGGAAGTCAGGGATTTGGCTACACTGGCTAGCTGGCAAGTTCCAGGGATCCTCTTGTCTCTGTTCTGTGCTGGGATTACAGATGTGTGCCATGCTCAGCCTTTTATATGGGTACTGGGTATCAAACTCAGGTCCTCCGGCTTGCTTGGAAAGCTGTGATACTCTTTAAATTTCCTTCCATAATATATGGTTGTTTTGTGTTTTGCCTAAGTGTCAAGCTTTTTATTTAGAGCTGTTTTTTTGTTTGTTTGTTTGTTTTGGTTTTGGGAGACAGGGTTTCTCTGTGTAGTTTTGGTACCTGTCCTTGAACTTGCTCTGTAGACCAGGCTGGCCTCTAACTCATAGAGATATGCCTGCCTCTGCCTCCTGAGTGCTGGGATTAAAGGTATGCGCCACTACCGCCCAGCTAGAGCTGTTTTTTAATTAAGTATTTTATTTAATATTCACACATGCATAAATATATTAGTGCCAAACCCAACAATTCATCAAAAAATTTAATATTTGTAAATATACAAGCACTAAATGTTGGAGTTCCTGTTTCCATAAAAATAAACATAGGAAGGTCAGGTAGGTCCTGAAACAATAATCATAACTGACTTCAACACTCCATTTTTCTCTTAGATAGGTCATCCAAGCTAAAAAAACTCAATAAACTACAGAGTTCAATTACACCATAGATTAAATAGACTTAACATATGTACAGAATATTCCATCCAATGGATATGGGATACACATTCTTCTCAGCGGCCCATGGAATAGTCTCTAAAATAGGTTATATGCTAGGCTACAAAGCAAATCTTAACAGCAACAAACAAAACAATGCCTTACACCTTATCAATTGAATAAAACTAGAAGTCAACAGCAGGAAGAAACAGAAAATACAGAGTTGGAGACTGAACAATACACTTTGAGTGACCAGCAGGTTGTTAAAGAACTCAGGAGACATTTAAAAATTCCTAGGATCAGATGAGATCACTCCTCATCAGAACCTTTGGAATACAGCTGAGGCAGTTGTAGGAGGAAAGTGGATGGCTACGAGCGTGCACATTAAACATTCAAGGCCAGTGGGATAGCTCAGGGGGTGAAAGTACTTGCCCAGCAAGTCTCGTGACCTGAACTGGATCCCCAGAACCCACTCCAAAGGTGGAAGAAGAGAACCAAGCCAACAGAGTTGTCCCGACTTCCTCATGTGCACTCTTGCAGGCATGCCCCACCCCAATCACACACACACTCACAATAATACCATTTTTAGTTAAAGAAAGCTGAAATAAATAACCTAATGATGCACCACAAGGTCTTAGAAAAACAAAACTAAGATGAATTCCAAAATAGTAGATGGCAACAAATAATACAATCCATTAGTGAAATGGAGACTAAGAGGACAACACATAGAATTAAACCAAACAAAGGGTTGGTTCTTTGAAAAAACACAAAGATTGAAAATCCCTAGCCAATTTAACCAAACTGAGGAGAAAAAAAGATTCACATTAATAACATTAGAGATGAAAAAGTGAGATTACTACAGAGTCCAGTGAAATCCAGAGGTTATTATAGAATACACTGAAAACTTACATTCCAAAAGACTGGAAAATTTAGAAGAAATAGATAAATTCCTAGACACATACAAATGACCAGAATTGAATCAGGAAGATAAAAATAACTTCAAACAGATCTATAACTAGCAATGACGTTGGAAGTGTAATAAAGAGTCTAACAATGCCCAGGACTGGCTGGATTCACTGCCAAACTCGACCATTCATTGGAAGAGCTAACACCATTGTTCCTCAAATTGTTCTATAAAACAGAAGGGGAAAGAACACTATTCCAAATTCATCCTATAAATCTGGCATACCTAATACCAAAATTGGGTAAGGACAGGACAAAAAATTGAGAACACTCTGAAACAATTTCACTGATAAACATAGGCATAAAAATTACCAGTAAGATATTTGCCCAAGAACACATTAAAAAGGCCATACAGCCTAACCATAATGGCTCTAGTACAAGGCTGTAGAACAGTTTCACAGCTGCAGATTAACAAAGGGAATACAGCGCACAGGCAGACCTAAGTACAGAAATCATGATGACCTCCATGCATGCAGAAAAGGCTGTCACAATGTTCAACATCTCCACGATAAAAGCCTTGAAGACCCTATGAACAGAACTAAAGATTCCAAGTAGCCAAAGCCATCCTACACAGAAAGAGCATCACTGCAACTATCCTAACACCCAGCTTCAGAGCCACCCCACCAAATGTGAAGACGGCTCCTGCACCTGCTCAGGTGGCCCTAGGTGGGAACAGGACACTTAGGAAGGTGTGAGCTTCCACAAGCACCAACTTAGTTTATCCACCATGCTGCCCCCGCCCTCAGCTACAACCTTCTACCCCGTTTGATCCCTGTTTTCCTAACAACCATTTAAACCTCTGCGTTCTGTCCATCTAGACCGCTGGCCCACCTTGGTCAGCCCTGTCTGACTCATTTCTCTGGCTCACTCACCAAGAGAAAAATAAGCCTTGGCTGCTTCTGTGACTCGCCTCTTTCCCAGGACACTGGGAAATGGCTAGGCACGCCAATGGACACCACAGGGCACCAACGGTATACTCAGCATCTCAACCCATGCCCATTAAACTCCATTCTCTCTCCTCTTCACCTGTGGCTAGTGAGGTCCTGTCTGCTGCATGGACTAGAGGTGAGAGCATCCCATTGGGCCTCTAAGTCTTCCTCCAGCCCTTCTACTCAGAGATGCCCTGTGTGTCCCTGGTGGCTTCCCCCTTGTCTCTGCTGGCTCAAGGTTTTCACAAACATCCTGTGTGTAGAACGGTATTTTCTTTACTTCCAGCTCAACATCCACGTGCACTCAAATCCAACAAATAACGGCCATGTGGCTCAGTGGGTAAAAGCATTTGCTGTGCAAGCCTGATCACTGAGTTCTACCCCTGAACACACAGTGGAAGCAATGAACCAACTCTTGACGGTTGTCTTCTGACCTTCACTCTGTGACACACGCAAGCTCTGTATCTCTTCGTAGCTCTCTCTTTCTCTCCTCTCACATACATATTAAATTTATAAAATTAGAAAAAATCAACAAATCCCACCAGGAGGGAATTTAATGGGTCAACCACTGTTAACAGCCATGACAAAGATTTTGTACAGACGTCACCAAGATGACACTGAGGTTCACAGAATAGGAACCGTGAAGCCGTAATCAGCCGTTCACTTCCGACACCACGTACACAGGAGAAGTCTGACCAACAGTACCTCAGGCGATGGCATGCTTCCTCAGCAGATGCAGAGGAAAACCCCCAGGGACAGAGCCATGCCAACAGCAATCCCAGCAGGCCATGGGTCTGACTCTTGCATGCCCTCCAGGGATTCCAGAACTGGCTGGAAGTTGGTCTTGCCCCATCAGTGTGGAGTGAGAGGTAAAGAAGCCTAGGCAGAGGCAAGAAGAAATAGAAGGAACCCAGGAGGGCCGGCTACAGTACTACAGAGCTACCTAACAGTTCCTGCTAGGTGAGGTACAGGAAGGAAGTCCCAGGCCCAGGGCATAACACAAATGGGGTAGCCACAGGGTGAGTGGGCAGAGCTGAGGTACCCATGATGAGAAAATAAAGGTCAAGGGCATAGTGTATGAAGATAATGATGGAGTGGATCTAGACTTTGTAATCAGACGCTGAGATTGGAGAGGGCTTCTGAAGCAAGCATTAACTATGAAAATCATATAGGTACAAAAATATAATTCATGTATGAAGGGTAAATGCAAATGGAAGGCTGCAGCTAAGTTCTGTGGCTCCACAGTGACAGCCTGGCCATGGGGGCCTGTGTAGCTCCCCGGGTTCCACTCTTAGAATGACATATCTGATCCATCCAAGGACCAGGTCCATCTCAGGAATACAGCAGCGGCTTGTTAAATAGCATCAGGCTGATATTCTTGCCACGAGGGAGATGCAGGTTTTGTTACTAAAACTCACAGGGTCCCACTCATTTCAGGTGGCGGGAGTGATGGTAGACACAGAAGGAGGCATTGGTGCCACGCCAACGACAGCTTTCAGCTCCTTAGTGCTTAAGTGAGAAACAGCCATGTAACAGAATAAAGAGCAAAAACATTGGCTGGCAATGCCAGTTGCCCATGTTATTGGCTAATTAGAGGTTAAAAGTTGTAAGGTAGTGT